AGCTTTGTGAGAAACATAATTCTTTGTCAATGAATCAGCTGCTACCATACTCAGAGCAGTGCGAGTATTGGACATGTTAGATGAAGATAAATCATTTCCACAAGTTTCTGTGAAAAGAAGTCTGGTTAAACTGATGGGGCATACTCGTGAGTCTATGTGAAGCTCAACAGCGGAGTATACAGTTAGATTGGATGTGTGTTGTGGCCTCGGTAGACGACAAGATGGCTACACCCTCACAGCAAGCACTGAGTCATAGCTTACCGATACATGAATGTACCAATCTTCTCCCTAGCCCCCAGGGACCACGTGCCCTGTACGCTCCCCTTGTCAATGGATTCAGCCACAGCGCACTACTCATTCACTAGTTCCGCCTTAATGCATGGGTATATCATTGATGTACTAGGAGAAGGAATCTATTGAAACAAAGGAGTATCTTGCATGGGGCCCTGATCATTGTCAGGGACACTTTATGCCTGAACTGAAGCTGCAGTGTCTCATGTCCAGATATGATTAATGATGAAGTGATACATTTTCATTGATTATCTTCGTCTGTTACTGTCATGGTAATGAATGGATGATCCTGTTATCATATTATGATTTTGTAAGTGATAGTTTCCTGTTTTTGTGAAAGAATTGCCTTTGTAAAGATGTTGAAGTATTCTCAAAGAAACTGACAAAATTGTTAATCTTTCATGTGTTAAAAGTAATTTCTAATGACAACTTCCAGTCATTCTGTTGCGAGGGTCATGTGCTCAGTTCATGGTTTTTACTTTGTAAACAGGAAGTGATCTCACCTTATCAGCATACACACGTTTTGCTTCCTCATTAAAGATATATGCTCATTGGTCAGAGGTTATATCAATTTTATTTATTTTTAATTTTTGTGTTTTTGTTGTCTAGCACAAACTGAATTGAGCTACACATGATCTGTATTGGTGTGTTTTGTATTATTAATAATTGAAATAAGTAATGTATCCAGGGAATACTTGTACACATGTGAATTCATGCTTCTCAAAGGAATTTCTTTTCATACATAAAATATGTAGAATGTTGATGTCCATTGAGTGTAATTGAGGAATTTCATCACAAAGTCAGGTGTTATGTCCCAAGATTGACAACCTTTCAATCATTCATTCCTGAAACAGTTGTAGATTCCTGATGAAATATTATGATAGTGACATAAGACACCTGTATGAATGAGCAAGGGTGACAGTGTGACTCATACTGCTGTGTGGCTGTCAGTAGCAGGGATAATCAATCCCATTGGTAATATTCCACTGCAAGTTGGTGGGTCAGGATCTGTGAGTCTTGATTCTAGTTTTCAATGCTTGCGATCCAGTCTGAACAGTGACAGGTGGAGTCACTTCTCAAACTTTGTGTGTCTAATGGTGACAGGTAGGTCACAGCCACACCATCGTGTCACCCCTAACAGTGACAGGTGAGTCACTGACACATTGTCATGTCGCCCTGAACGGTGACAGTTTAGTCAATTCTCCACCCTGGTGACATCCCTAATGGTGACAGGTGAGTCACTGCCACATCCTAGCATCACCCTGAACGGTGACAGTTCAATCACTTCTCCACCCTGGTGACAAGTACCCTCATTGTGACAGGTGAGTCACTGCCACATCCTCATATCACCCTGAACAGTGACAGTTTAGTCACTTTTTCACCCTGGTGACACACCTAATGGTGACAGGTGAGTCCCTGCCACATCCTCATATCACCCTGAACAGTGACAGTTTAGTCAGTTCTCCACCCTGGTGACACCCCTAATGGTGACAGGTGAGTCACTGCCACATCCTAGTATCACCCTGAACAGTGACAGTTTAGTCACTTCTCCACCCTAGTGACGCCACCGATGGTGACAGGTCGTTGACAGGTGAGTCACTGCCACATCCTAGCATTACCCTGAACGGTGACAGTTTAGTCACTTCTCCACCATAGTGACACCACCGGTGGTGACAGGTCGTTGACAGGTGAGTCACTGCCACATCCTAGCATCACCCTGAACGTTGACAGTTTAGTCACTTCTCCACCATAGTGACACCACCGATGGTGACAGGTTGTTGACAGGTGAGTCACTGCCACATCCTAGCATCACCCTGAACGTTGACAGTTTAGTCACTTCTCCACCATAGTGACACCACCGATGGTGACAGGTCGTTGACAGGTGAGTCACTGCCACATCCTAGCATCACCCTGAACGTTGACAGTTTAGTCACTACTCCACCATAGTGACACCACCGATGGTGACAGGTCGTTGACAGGTGAGTCGCTGCCACATCCTAGCATCACCCTGAACGTTGACAGTTTAGTCACTTCTCCACCCTGGCGACACCCCTAATGGCAACAGCTGAAGTTTTCCTGTTTGATCATGTCAATAGAAAAGACTACTCACACCTCTGAGGCAGATGTTATCAGTGAAGTTGTTCCTGATACGTATTATGTTGTTTTTTTCAAGAGAGGAAAAGATTGTAGAACAGTTGTTATGTCATGCGCTGGTGACTTTTATAGCTAAACACATTGAAGGGACCCAAGAATTACGATGTTCAAGAAAATCAGTTATACTTTGCTTTTGTTGAGATCCATAACCCATAAATAACAGGGTGTCCAGTACAGAGTAAGAGTTGCGGGAATTTGTATGACGTGTGTGCGGCGAGTCCAGTGACATCACACAGTGTGCCCTGTCTGACGCAGGCTCCCTGTATCTGGGTATGTTGGAGCTGTTGGTGCAGACTACCTCCTCCCCTCCTGCGTTGAAGACTTCAGCCTGAGGTCACTCAGGTTATCAGACAGCGGGTCGTAATATTTGCGTAATTATGACGTGTCAACATCCTTCCTGCTGACTCCCTGTGCACCCTGCTCTGGTACTGATGGGGTCAGGGTATAGCTGTGTACCAGAAGGCTGCTAGCATTATGGTTATGACTAGTCTAGGGCCTGTACGCATTACACTTAGTTATGGCCTGGGGGACTGATGTGTCGTCATTTATCAAATACATTGCAGGAAAAAAACAACCAAGCATATCTTCCAGCAACAGGAACTAACAGTTATAGTCCACTAGTCATAATGATAACATATAGCTAAACCTTTAAAAAGGGCAAATTTCTACTGGTCCTTAGGATACCTTAACTATTGGCCAGATTGGCCAGATTGGCCAGGACTATGGGACTAGTGCCAATTTCCGACGCTGACTTCTGACTTTCCTCCCTGTCTTATTTACTGCTGACGTATATGACTAAAATATGGTTAAAAGAGGTGTAAAATTGACTCACTCTATTTATGGTGAATGATGTCATGGTTCTGTTTGAAACAGGAGTGTTTTATTTGCGTTAATATAAACCCGATTCAGCTTGTCCATGCTTTGATGACAACATGGCCTCTTCCTCCTTGTTGTTATTGAAGTGTTGTGTACATCCTGTAGGATAATGAAGGATGGCACACCTGTAGTAAGCAGTGGCTCAGTGCAATACCAGGTGCACAATGGGGGAACATACCTGCAGGGAACTCTCCTTCAAACTGCTGCCGCCACTGCACTCCTTGACTTGGCGCAAGTTCCATCCCCGCTGCCGACTTTGCAATACATGTGGATGCTCTGAACAGTTGATTCAGTCATGGTCTTCAAGTTTGATTTGATGTGATTTCCATGTAATCAATTTTCAGCCTTGAACTTTTGAAATACAATAGAAGAATTGATGTGAGGATGAAAACAAAGGTTGTGGTTTCTCCGTCAGACCACATGCCTCGTTGTGGAGAGTCCTCCGGGTGGGAATATTAAGAATGGCAATTCCAACCTTTATTTATTATTGTGATATTGGAAAGAAGGTGTAGCTTGCCTAGATGGCAATGTGTCATCAGTTCCGAGCTAGAGCGGTTCAGTACATTCAGTTGTCTGGTTACATGTATTCACCACAGACTTGACTTTAGCGTTAACCTGGAGTTGTAATAGAACTTGGAAAAGACTTGCACAGGTCTCTAAGTTAATGATTATAAGTTTAATTCATAATTCCTCGGGGCGGTCGGGTAGCCTAGTGGTTAAAGCGTTCGCTCATCACGCCAAAGACCCGGGTTTGATTCCCGACGTGGGTACAATTTCTGGTCTCCCCCGCTGTGATATTGCTGCAATATTGCTAAAAGCGACTGAAACCATACTCACTCACTCACTCACTCACTCACTCACTCACTCACTCACTCACTCACTCACTCACTCACTCACTCACTCACTCACTCACTCACTCACGCATAATTCCTCAATTATATAAACAATAAGAAGTTGTCCATGGCGTCCTTGGATACTGTCGACTTATCTAGGCTTGCTGATTATAAGGATAGAGTCACTATACATCCATGGACATATCATTCAGTGCAGCCTTGGAACAAGGCTATATATTTAACTACAACCCATGTGCACAAATCCTTCTTAACAATATGACTTATAACTCCCATATCTTAACAAACTACAGTGGTCATTGCTCTCTGAAGAGTGGTTCCAGAACAGTGATGTTAGTCTGTCTCCCAGACCATAGGAATAAATTTAAATTGAATCCAAGTGAAGTCTAGAATGATTTGCAAGTCTAGATTCCTGTGCAGTGTTAGAAAATGGAACTTGTCCCATAGTCCATGCCAAACTGTGCAATAGGTATCATAAGGACTAGTAGAAATTTGCCATTTTAAGGGTTTTGCTATATGTTACAATTATAACGACTTGTGGCCGAAAACTTATGTAGCTCGACAGGGCCAGGGGCGGTCAAATAGCTCATCATGCCGAAGACTGGGTTTGATTCCCGACTTTGGTACAATGTGTGAAGCCCATTTCTGGTGTCCCCTGCTGTGATATTGCTGGAATATTGCTAAAAGCAGCGTAAAACCATACTCACTCACTCACTCACTCACTCACTCACTCACTCACTCACTCTAGTCTTCCTAGATACTTTCGAACTAGATATTTTAAACATCCAATGCTTTGGTTACAATGTTCAATGTTGTTTATCATTGTAGGTCCTGGTGATTGACAGTCGGTCATTCCTCGAGTTCAACACCAGCCACATTCAACAGAGCGTAAATGTATGCTGCTCCAAACTGGTCAAGAGGCGTCTTCAGCAGGACATGGTAAGACAGCCTAAGTCTAACACAGGTCCACATATGGCACTGCCTGGTCACAGGTCTGTGAACAGATCTATGTAACATGGAATATTTGCCACGTACACCCTCGGTAATCTGCCCCATGTTGGAGGTGACTGTGGGTCAGTGGAAATTTCCTGCTTCTGATAGTTTAACCAATATGTTATGAATAATTTGGTGAGTAGATATAGACTATTTAAAAAGTTAGGGACCACCCTATTCTTACATATTGCTGTAGTTAATCTGTCATGGCAGGACATTAACTATTGCATTTAAAAGAATCGTGTGGTTCTTAACTTTCTTTCAGTCATATATGTAATACTAAAAGCCTGGGGGTAAATACTAGGCCTTGTTCCCTTGCCCAAAGTGATCTGCTCCATGGCGAAGTAGTTTATCGTTAGCTGAAATTTCCTGTTTCAGTTAGATTGCCTATGTATGTTATCATTGAGCGAGTGCTGAGAAAGAAAGAAATGGTGTTATATGATTTTATCTTGCCCAGCTCAAACAACCCACAATGCAACATTTGTCATGGATGATTACGTGACTAACAAGACCATTCACATCTCTCTGACTCCTGAATACAGCTCTGACTGATTTACCTATTTTGATCTTTTCTCCTGCCCGTCAATACTACTGTACAGGCTAAACGTTCAATTGTTTGTTGTATTCAAGAGATCCATGTATAGCAGTGACGATGTTGCTGTATTTCCCCATATTGCACAACCACAGTACATACATACTAAACACGACCAGCCTGGAAGTTACCAACTGAAGTATGATTCATGTTTTGATCAATATTGACAGCTATGAATAAGCTGACTTACACTCGCTGCGTTGGATCCGGCCTAGTTACTTTTATTTCCCTTGGACAACACCAAAAACAGGATCTTTTTCACAACCTCTTCTTCTTTGTGCATTTACAAGTCCCGATTGAATGATACTTCGTAATGTATTTGTTGAAGTAACGGTACATGAGACGGTAATCAGAAGGCCTTATGGGTACTAGTCTTGACATTTGATCGTGTTTAAAGAGTCTGGCTTGATTGTAGGTCATTCACTGATTAAAGTTCAATGTCCTTTATATCAGGAGTGCCAAGATCATCTCCACCTTGTTTAGTAAAGTATTAGTGAAACCCAGGCATGTCTGTGGGTGTGGATAAGCCACTGCAGAATCAGGCATGTCTGTGGGTGTGGATAAGCCACTGCAGAATCAGGCATGTCTGTGGGTGTGGATAAGCCACTGCAGAATCAGGCATGTCTGTGGGTGTGGATAAGCAACTGCAGAATCAGGCATGTCTGTGGGTGTGGATAAGCCACTGCAGAATCAGGCATGTCTGTGGGTGTGGATAAGCCACTGCAGAATCAGGCATGTCTGTGGGTGTGGATAAGCCACTGCAGAATCAGGCATGTCTGTGGGTGTGGATAAGCCACTGCAGAATCAGGCATGTCTGTGGGTGTGGATAAGCAACTGCAGAATCAGGCATGTCTGTGGGTGTGGATAAGCCACTGCAGAATCAGGCATGTCTGTGGGTGTGGATAAGCAACTGCAGAATCAGGCATGTCTGTGGGTGTGGATAAGCAACTGCAGAATCAGGCATGTCTGTGGGTGTGGATAAGCCACTGCAGAATCAGGCATGTCTGTGGGTGTGGATAAGCCACTGCAGAATCAGGCATGTCTGTGGGTGTGGATAAGCCACTGCAGAATCAGGCATGTTCTTTGGTGTGGATAAGCCACTGCAGAATCAGGCATGTCTGTGGGTGTGGATAAGCCACTGCAGAATCAGGCATGTCTGTGGGTGTGGATAAGCCACTGCAGAATCAGGCATGTCTGTGGGTGTGGATGAGCCACTGCAGAATCAGGCATGTCTGTGGGTGTGGATAAGCCACTGCAGAATCAGGCATGTCTGTGGGTGTGGATAAGCCACTGCAGAATCAGGCATGTCTGTGGGTGTGGATAAGCCACTGCAGAATCAGGCATGTCTGTGGGTGTGGATAAGCCACTGCAGAATCAGGCATGTCCTTGGGTGTGGCAGACCGCTGCTGTTCTGATTGTGGAGAGGTAGACACCAGTCATATCCAACAAGTCCACCGCTCATTGTGGATTAGTGATTTATGTAAAGTCATAGGATTTTGGGAGAAAACAACTAATCCCTCTTCGATTTCATTTGTCTCTAACAGACCCGTTGACATTTTCACCTGTGAGGATGCTCTTGTCCACTCATTCACTCATCCACTCACTCATTCATGATACAGACATAACTGAAAAAAGTAATGCAATTGCCCAATACTTTTTGCATAACAATTTACAATTAAATTTACAGATGCCTCCTCCAAGAACAACTGAAGCTGAAACTCTGTAATACAAATCTCATCGATTCGTTGCTGTTGAAGCTTGTTGCAGCCAAATGATCAATAGAAAACTAATATGATTAGGTCTATGTTTCTTATGATTCATTTATGGTGTCGTCACTCACGATACAACATGTATTGGAATATTGACCTTCCAAATTAGTAAAGCAAGAAATCTGTCGGCCCATCTGCTTATATGTATTCATTCATCTGTGCTGCTATTTCTTGATATGGAACCTTGATTCCGGCTATGCACCAGAGTGATGATTGTGCTTCATTGGTAGGGACTTGAGCCTGAGTGATGGTGTAGCCTCAGAGTGCGCAGTTGTGAATCATCCAGTTACTCATTGATTTTCCTTGTTTGTTGATGCTGAAGATGGTCATCCCAGCCTTGGCCTCTTCGTCCCACCTGTTGGATGTTCAGACCATATCTCCCAGGAGGTGTCACTTGTTGTCACAGTGGAGATTGGTAGTGCCAACTGTTTACTGTATGACAGCATGACAATGGGATACGAGTGGACTGCTCTCCTCCACCCCACCACCACCACATCTCTCCCTCCCTCCCTCCCTCCCTCCCTCCCTCTCTCCCTCTCTCTCTCCCTCTCTCTCTCTCCCTCTCTCTCTCTCTCTCTCTCTCTCTCCCTCTCTCTTTCTCTCTCTCTCTCTCTCCCTCTCTCTCTCTCTCTCTCTCTCTCTCTCCCTCTCTCTCTCTCTCTCTCCCTCTCTCTCTCTCTCTCTCTCTCTCTCTCTCTCTCTCTCTCTCTCTCTCCTGTCACTACATCATACTTGTCTGACCCCTTTAGCCAACAGCTACCACTTTTTTCTGTGATTCAAGTGGTCCACCTCCTGCCACTGTGGGCCAGGCAGGCCATGCAGCCAGCATATCCTCACACTGATTCACATCTACAACCACCTCAGCACCTTGGATGATGACTCACATTTGTGGACTGCAAACAATAAGCATTGTTGTTGTGCTGTTAAGAATTAGAAACATTTGATCAGGGCTGTCATACTGCTAGAATGTGGAGAAGAGGCAGATGTTGTCGGGAGGAGGTTTTAGAATGTGTGTGGAAGTTCCGAACTCTGAGGTTGATGCATCATGGTGCTCACCATGCTGCTTGACATCTGTAATCCACGATAGGTGATGCTGAGTGATGTGTTGGCGAACATATAGGTACTAGCTGTGAGCTGAATAATGTGTTTGCAAGTATACACAAACCATGAGCTTAGGGATGTGATAGTGAGCATATACACCAGCTTTGTGCTGAGGGATTTATGCATAGCTTGCATATATACACTAGCTATGAGCTGAAGGATTTGTGTGTAGCTTGCGTAGATACACTAGCTATGAGCTGAAGGATTTATGTATAGCTTGGACATACACACTAGCTATGTGCTGAGGGATTTATGTATAGCTTGGACATATACACTAGCTATGAGCTGAGGGATTTATGTATAACTTGGACATATACACTAGCTATGTGCTGAGGGATTTATGTATAGCTTGGACATATACACTAGCTATGAGCTGAGGGATTTATGTATAACTTGGACATATACACCAGCTATGAGCTGAAGGATTTATGTATAGCTTGGACATACACACTAGCTATGAGCTGAAGGATTTGTGTGTAGCTTGCGTAGATACACTAGCTATGAGCTGAAGGATTTATGTATAGCTTGGACATATACACTAGCTATGAGCTGAGGGATTTATGTATGGCTCGCATTAATACACTAGCCATGAGCTTAGGGATGTGATAGTTAGAATGTATATATACACTAGCTTTGAGCTGAGGGATTTATGTAGAGCTTGCACATATACACCAGCTATGACCTGAGGGATTTATGTATAGCTTGCATATATACACTAGCCATTAGACTACCATTTAGTCTATGAAATCTTATATGACACAATATCCTTCTTGACTCTAAAAAAACAAAAATCCCTATGCTGATTTCATAGCTGGCTAGACTTGCTTGTGTGTGCATTTTTATTTTTATTTACATAAAATAAATATATTCCACAGTCATGGTGCAGGACTAACTAGCCATGAGCTGAGAGATTTATGTATTAGCTTGCATATATACACAAGCTATGTGCAAAGGGATGTGTTTAACAAGTGTATGCACTAGCCATTGGCTAAGTGATGTGTTTATGAGCATATATATACACAAGCCATGAGCTCATAGTAGCTCTGTTCCTGTACAGAGCATGGCACAAGCTGGTACATAATGTCCCCTGAGTGGATCAGGTTCCTGCTGCACCGGTCGTGGACATCAACAGCTGCAGTAGATGTGCAGCTAGCGGTTCAATACATACCTATTATCAAGCAATTGGTATTAATTCCCCTTTTTTTTGGACATTTTCTCTGAATACATTTCCAAATTTTTCACACAAATCTTTTAAGTTGAAAACCTGTTCCTTAAAACAGCATTAGAAATTGGCACTAGTCCTGTAGTTCCTACCAAACTGCCCAATACTTAGGGTATCAGGGGACTGAAAATGTCAGTTTCTACTACTGTTAACATATGGCCATACATGCTTTGATTCAATTATTACCAGACAGAAGTTTTACTTGAGATGTTTTTGCTTTGGACTTGTGGTCAAAGAAGCCCTTTGTAAAAATGATATGAAT